CGTACTCACTCCCGGTCCTGCCCTCACTCCCAGCCCCGCTCTGTCTCCCGCTCTCCCCACGGGCCATCTCGCAGCGCTCTGGGCTCGGACGGGGCAGCTCTTTGCCCAACTCTCCTCTTACATCACCCCGAGCTCCTCCTTCTCCCGGGGCCTCCCGAAACCTGCCCGGCCCACATTCACAGACGGATCTGGAGCTGCCCAGGTGTGCAGGGATCCCTGCCCAGCACATTCCTGCCAACAATCCCTGCCCAGGCTGGGCTGGTTGGGCTGGTTCAGCCAGGCTGAGACCCCGGGGGAGCCGTGAACCTCCTGCTGGGATCACCCCAAGCACCCTGGAGCTCATCCTGGCACCCATCCCAGCACCCCGGGGCTTCTCTGGCACCCAGGACTCATCTCAGCACCCTGGGGTTCATCCTGGAGCCCAGAGCTCATCCTGGAGCCCAGAGCTCATCCTGGAGCCCGGAGCTCATCCTGGAGCCCAGAGCTCATCCTGGAGCCCAGAGCTCATCCTGGCACCCTGGGACTCATCTAAGCACCTGGGGCTCATCCTGACACCTCGGGACTCATCCTGACACCCCGGGACTCATCCTGGTGCCCAGAGCTCATCCTGGAGCCCAGAGCTCATCCTGGAGCCCAGAGCTTATCCCGGAGCCCAGAGCTCATCCTGGTTCATCCAGGCCCCCAGGACTCATCTCAGCACCCTGTGGCTCATCCTGGCACCCACGACTCATCCTGACACCTCGGGACTCATCCTGGAGCCCAGACCTTATCCTGGAGCCCAGAGCTCATCCCAGCACCCCGGGACTCATCTCGGCACCCCGGGACTCATCCTGGCACCCCGGGACTCATCTCAGCACCCCGGGGCTCATCCTGGCACCCCGGGACTCATCCCAGAGCCCAGAGCTTATCCTGGCATCCTGGGGTTCAACCTGGCACCTTGGGCTTATCCTGGTATCCCAGAGCTCATCCTGGTATCCCAGGGCTCATCCCAGCAGCCCAGGGCTCATCCTGGTATCCCAGAGCTCATCCTGGTATCCCAGAGCTCATCCTGGTATCCCAGAGCTCATCCCAGCAGCCCAGGGCTCATCCTGGTATCCCAGGGCTCATCCCAGCAGCCCAGGGCTCATCCCAGTATCCCAGGGCTCGTCCTGGTATCCCAGAGTTCATCCCAGCAGCCCAGAGCTCATCCCAGCAGCCCAGATGGGCCTGGAATTAGGGACAGGGATGAGGATGGCAGGGCAGCCCCCCCGCCCCCTGCCCGCTCCAGCCTCACCGTAGGACGCCTTCCGCTCCATGTCCGGGTTCCCCATGGAGGAGCCTTTCCCCTGCTCCAGGGACTGCTTTATACTGGACACATTGGCTGCAAAGGAGAAGGGAAAAATCCTGTCAGGAAGGAGAGTCAGAGCTGGCAGGAGAGCGGGGACAGCCGACAGCTCTGGCAGGGACAGACCCACTTCCCGGGCTCTTTTCCAGCTCTGAGAAACCTGGCAGGGATGGACTCGCTTCCTGGGCCCTTTTCCAGCTCTGAGGGTCCTGGCAGGGATGGGAGGGGTAATTTGGGCTGGGACCTGCTGGGAAAGTCCCTCATTTCCCCCACCAAAAGGCCTGAGAGGCACCAACGTGGCAGGAGCGTCCACGAGCAGCTGGAGCTGGTTGCAAAACTCCAGTCCAGGAAACAAGGGTGGAATTTCCTCACTGTGGAAACCACATCCCACCCCTCCCCCCCCTTCCTGGGGCTTATGGCACCCACAGCACCCTCCAAACCCTCCCAGAACATCCCCACCACCCCTCAAACCCCTCAGCTACCCCAGGCATTGGGAAGTGAGTTAAGGGCAGGTTTAACTCTTTCATCATGACCTGGGTTTAAATCCAACCCACGCAGGACTGAGCCAGAATCCGGGCTGGGGCTGGGACTGGAGCAGGAGGGAACCAGAAACTGGGATGGGACCGGGAATGGAGCAAGAGGGAATCGGAAATCGGGATGGGGATGCAGCAAGTGGGAGCTGGGGATGGGCTCTGGAGTTTCAACCCCCTCAAGCCCCCAAGGACGAGCCAAAGTCCCTCAGTTTGGTCTGTGAAGCACTTAATCCCTCCTCAGATCCCACTGGATTTGAATGGGAGATTTCTATAAAACAAAGGAATACTGGTTCAGTGAGAATGCAAAAGAAAATCATCAGCCGGGGATTCGGTTTTAAGTGATCTGAACCAATGTCAGGGTTTTAAAGATGAATTCCCAGTTTCCCAACCAGCCCCAAAGGTGGGTTGTGACTGAGCCAGGTGCTGAAATCACCCAAAAGATGCCAAAGTCACCTGAGGGGTGGGGAGACACTGCTGTTGTTGTGTTTCCAACCAGACCCACTGCAGGTCTGGAGCAATGTGACTCCAGGGGAACGTGGGGACTGACCCCCTGGACCCCCAAAACCCCACTGAGGCACGGGGTGGAGTTGGGTTATTCCCCCTCTTTAACCCTGAGTGTTTGCACAAGCACATGGAGCCATGGAATATTGGAATATTCCCAAAAAGATCACCAAGACCAACTCCTGGCCCCGCACAGGACACCCCAAAATAACCCTTGGACACCCCCTGCCCCTTCCAGGCTCTGATCACCCCAAACTGCCACAGGCTGTGAGGAGAAACGGGAGGAAACACCTCCAGGAGCTGGATTTGATCCCTGTAGGTCCCTTCCAGTGGGATATTCCACCACCTCCTGCCCCCTCCCAGCCACAGCCCCAGAACCGGGACCACCTCCCAGCTCCGACCCCACCACTTCCCCTCTTTGTCAAGCCCCAAACCCCACAGCTCCCACTAAAACAAACCCTGAAGTTCAGCAATGAGCCACCTTTTCCCCAAAAACTGTGACCCAGGAGCAGCCTTACCCTGGCAGGGAGTCCCTCACTCCGTGGTGGGGCGAGGCCAACCCCTTGGGAACGTTCGTTACGGACCCACCTCAGTATCTGCCCCCACACCAGCCCAGGGGTGGGAGGGGGCTCCTTATCTGCTCCAGCAGCTGCTGGGCTGGGAGATGGATCCACCCCCGGCACAGGGAACGTGTCCCATGGGTGCCCACAGAGCCTCCTGTGGGAAGGTGACCCCAGGGACCCCCATCTGGCTGCCCCCTCCTGTCTGGCAGGGGTGGAGGGGAGAAGGTCCCCCCTGAGCCTCCTTTCCTCCAGGCTGAGCCCCCCCAGCCACTCTTGGTGCTCCAGCTCCTTCCCCAGCTCCGTTCCCAGCTCCAGCCCCTCAGCATCCTGCACTGGGGACCCAAAGCTGATGCCAGGATTGGGGGTTTGGCCCCAGCAGTGCCCAGCAAGGGGGATGGCACTGCCCTGGTCCCGGTGGCCGTGCTGTGGCTGCCACAAGCCGCGTGCCCGTGGCCTCCTCACCCACCCGGCACTCCCGTGTCCTTTCCCAGGCTCTGCCTCCTGGTGCTCAAACCCCCACTGGGACCCCCCTGCTGCTACACCCAACAGGCCCAGGCATTCCCAGGGGAATATTCCCTGGAATACCACAAGCCCTGAGCAGAAGAACATCACGAGGTCACTCCACAAACCCTCCGAGGTGGTGCTGCTGTCCAGGCCTTCTCCACCCACAGAGCAAACAACGAGCAGGGAACAACGGGGCCCTTGTTCCACCCGCCCCTCCCTCCAAACCCACTGTCCAACGGGTCCTTCCCACAGCTCATCCTGCTGCTGCTCCTGCCCTGGGGGCACAGGAGCAGCCTGGCCCCGTGCTGGGAGCAGTTCCTGCCATTGAGGTCGTGCCTTTGATGTGGGGCTTTGAGCCAGGCTGGGTTCCTGCAGGGCAGGCAGGATCCTCACGGATCCTTCTGCAGCAGTTTTGGGGCCAACACCTCGTTTTGCTCCACACACAGACACCCTGTGGGCTGGTGATGGTCACACTGACCCCTCAGTCCAGCCCTTCCAGGTGATGTCCCACTGGGAGCCCCCAAACTGGCATGGACAGCCCCCCGTCCCAGCAGAGGTAACTGGTGAACTGGGTGGTGATGGTGCTGGGTAATTGTTGGACTGGATGATCTCAGAGAGCTTTGCCAACCTTGATTCCCTGATTCCACCCCCCTGACCACCTTCTAGGTGTCCCCTGGCACCACCAGGGCTGGGACATGGAAAACCTTTCCCTCTGCACGGACCTGGTGGGGTCCCCCCTGGGGAGCAGCACAGGGTCCATCCCTGTGGGGTTCCTGCCCCCTCCCTCTGCCCCACTCCTGCCCACGACCTGAGAGGACAAAGCCAGCAGCGACCTCTGCTCCTCTTGCACCAGGACAGGCCACCTGCCCCACACCTGAACAGGTCAGACCAGCTTGTTCCCTGCCCAGCCCTCACCCCATCCCGCATTCCGGAGCCGGGATATGCCCGGGTGCAGGAGGGCACCTGGGGCTGAGCCCAGCCCTGCTCACCTGGGTGTCCTCTCCAGGAAATCTGGGGCATGACCTGGTTCTTTCTATGGAAACAACCCCTGGCAGGGAGGAGCAGCTTCCTCCCAGCCCGCCCCAGCTCCTGGCTTTGGGAGCCGAGCGTGGGACGTGCAGCTGACGCTCACCTGGGACTGCGAGAACTTTCACCACCTGTAACAAACCACCTGTGTCCAACCCACGACAACGCGGGGCCGTTATTCCACCACCGGCTGCGCCGTCCCGCTCTCCCACGCCTCGGGAGCTCCTCCGAGGGCTCCCGTGGCCGAGACCCCTCTCAGTGCGGGGGGGTCGAACCCCCCTTCCGAGAGCACCTTAACCCACAGTCACGCGTGGACCTTGGCCGGGGCGGGGACCCGGGAGAGCAGAGCCCTTCCCGGACACGGTGACATTCCCCGAACCGCCCCGGGAGAGCAGAGCCCTGCCCGGACACGGTGACATTCCCTGAACCGCCCCGGGAGAGCAGAGCCCTGCCCGGACACGGCGACATTCCCTGAACCGCCCCGGGGGCACCGGCCGGACTCACCGTCCCCACCGGGACACGCCGGGAGGCTCCGGAGCTGGGACCGGGGACCCCGGATGGGGGATCTGCAGGGACAAGGACACGTGTCCGGGAACCTCAGCCCGGGCAGGACGAGCTCCGTGGGGCTGCTGAGCCCGA